TCACCCTGGTTAAGAGAAGGAGTGTTACACTCTTATTGACTACACCGTTCCTTCTTCTGTTCTGTTCCCAGGCTGCGGACCATTTTTTTATGGTATATGTCGGCAAACGCTTAGACGGATTACCTGATGGCAAGCAATCGGCGCCGCCCATGGACACCTGCAATACCAAAGGTGATACGAGTGCGTTGCCGGCCTTTTGGGGATAGGGGTTGCGGATATAAGGATCGGTAAGGGGCGGGATTGGGCCTCCGGTAACCTCACTCACACTGCGGAACACAAAGTTGTAGTTGTTTCACGCCGGTATTCTGTGAGGCCGTGGTATCACTCCGGTCAAGCCGACCCATTTGTGCCGAAGCTTGGCTCAATTCTAGTTAAGGAATTCCATAGTTTATAAAAATCTCACTATAACTAATAGGAGGTGAATTGTAAGAGGAATCGCGCTTATAGCCAGTAAATAATAACTTTTGCCTCACATAACGATATTTCCCGAGGTAAATAGCTTTAACTTTATTATGTAAATTTTGTATATCTCTTCCATTACAATCGTATCATCTTTCGGTTGCTAGGGGCTCGAGAATATTGGAGTATTATGCGGGATATCATTGTTAATGTACGCAGGTGTGTATGCTGGGTGCTGGGTCCTTATTGGGTACAATTTTATTGGTTTGTATAACTTCAGGTGACATAATAAGTATTGAATAGGAGAATTTTATGGAAAGATGGCATGAGCTGATATATATGGTGAACTTTTTTGGCTTTCTACACGCGGCGCCACTATTTCATTCATCAATTTCAACAAAGGATATTTAAAAAAGGAAACATTCAAAACAGATAATCATCCTCCTTTTTAAAATTAGAAGGCTGCAGGAAACTTACTAGGGTATTGTAGAAATCATAGACTACTTAAACACCATCGGCATCGGCCATATTTATAAAATTGATATAACCTACTATTTAAAAAAAGAAATTAAATAGTAGTAATGTTTTTATTATTTTTTTCTGCAGGAAGATGTTCCTTAAAAAATATGTAGTACTTTTGTACCTCTCTTTTTATTATCTGTATTGTGTCTTAATGTGTTATTATTTTGTGTGCATAAATGATAAACATATTACGCGTATGCCACTATACAATCGCACCATTATTACAAATGGCGGTCGCAACGATTTTACGAAGTCCTGTGACCTACAAACCCATTTTCACTACCTCGGAGTGTGAAATTCTCAGCTGCGAAGCGACTGAAACTATGGTAATTATCTCGAATTACTTTCCATTCAGTTCTGATTCGAAACGACACTAACTTCGATATTAAATGATTGAATGATTTAATAAAAATGATAGATCTTGTCCTTTGTAATTGATCACACGAAAATAGGTCAGTAACTACCGTACTCAGAATTGGTTGAAACCAAAAAAGGTGAGGTGAAGAAGAAATCGTGAGAAAATCTGAACTTATAATTAATTCGCCTTGAGCAAGCGTGGTGATTAATGCTCAAACCTTTTTCGTGTGAGTGCGAGAAGATGCCTTAGCTCAGCAGTGGGCACTTATAGGCTGATAATGTATGATGTTTTTATTGCTCTTTTCAGTGCCTCTCATTATATTCTTTGTACATTAACACACATGCAACACTTCTAGGCGCTTGGAGTGTATACGGATTTCTATTGACACTGTCAACTGCTGTCGAGCTGGTTAGTCTGAATAGAGCCTGAGCATAATAAATGCGTTGACGGCCTGTTGGAATTTGAGAATTAAAAAAAAATAAAATTTAAGGATAAGCTATTGAATCAGGCGTGACTTTGCGGAAATCCATGACATTAAATTATATGATGACATTAATAACATTCAAATGTAATGTGACATTAGAAACAGTATAAATGTGGATGGATGGAGAGGAAGAGGGAAACCAAAGAAAATATGGATGGATTGTATGAGAAGTGATATGGAAGACAGAGGAGTTAGGGATAGCGTGACGAGTGACAGGACAAAATGGAAGAAAAAAACATATTGCGCCGATCCCAAATAAAACGGGACAAGGACAGGAAGATGATGATGAATAACATTAAAATTTAGGGATGTTTAGAAATAGGAATATTTCCCGAAAGTGCTAACCCAAGAGGCACAAATGCACTTAGTTTTATCCCACTTAATTTATATCTTCTAAATGTTATTTTTATGTGCGAAGTGAGAGTCCTAAATGTCAGTAAGATTCATTTATTCTTTTCAAACGTCTTCATTCTTAGTTTCCCAAAATACACGAACATATAATAAATACTTTATTTCGCAACCTGTGTGCTTAGGACAGTTTTGTTTGCACCGAGATATTTATAAAGGTTGCCTCTCCGATTAAAGGACCTGTTCCAACAAGATTGTTAGCATCTCAAAGATATATGAGGTCCTTTATATATGTAGCCATATGGTACGTAGGTATATAGAGATTAACATTGTTTTATTTAGCTAAAGCTTATTGAGGTTTTTCTTCTTCCGAATATATTTTGGGCTCTGAAAACTGGGCTAGTGATCTCAAGTAAGAATAGATTTAATCGTACAAAAAAACAAGCGTACAATAAAAAAAATATATAGAGAAACAAGTCCAGGTGAAGTCGTCCTTCCATTATAAAATAAAAGATCTATTTTGTGCCCTATTTAAAAAAAAAACTTATTCATCTTAGGGTAATCGTTCACTCATTAAATTATAATACAATTAATTATAATTTTCAAACCATAAAATATATTAATTTAACCTTGCAATCATGGTAATTCGAGACACAATGTTGATGAATTGAACTGTCCATAATTTAAAACAGAACTCATGGGCCATTCTGATGATGCGGGAAGGTTGTTCGACTTTATGGCCCTGATCCATTGATCTCGTTTAAATGTAACTTGTGTTAGGGTACGACGGGACTGACCTACGATGTGCGCTATAAAAGTCCCTAATTATTTAAAGAAATAAAAAAAAAATACTCATGGGCCATTCACCAAGTTCTGTAACCACTAAATATTTACTTAAAGTCCCTTTTAGTACCAAAAAAGAAATAGTTTCCTAAGTAAGTACAAATAGTTGAAAGTGTGTGTAACTTAATGTTTTTTCAGGTGAAATGGGTGTTTCAAGGCTTTTATGTAAGATGCTTACTGTGAGCCTAGGGGTAGTAGAAGCTAGATTTCAAACGGGCTTTGCGTAGCCCTATGTATCTAGGGTTGCTAAAAGAGAATATTTCTCGAGGTGATTTCGCCTAAAGCGTTTTAAACTGCAAAAGCTGATGTTTATTGTTTTTGGGGTTTACACTTGACTGTTTGAAGTATGTATGTTGTTCACTTGAATTGAGCAGTGAAGATAGATAGTTTATTATTTATTAAAATGATGTTTTGAAAATCTTTCATCTTGCAAACGAACAATCAGCATTGTAGTAATCATTTTCTGGAATAATGTTATTTGTTCTTGTATTTTGGCAATTTTCTATAATGGTCAAAAATTTACTAAGATGACATGATATTATTAAAAAAAAATGCAATCTCTTTGTAGCATCTTTTATAAGCATGACGTCACATCATTAAATTAGTCTGCAATGGGCCAAAATGGCGACTCAATTGTAAAGGTTTAAATAAAAAAATGTACGACAAAAAAAAACCTCGTTCTTTTTTGAAAAAAGAAAACTTTTGAATTCATACATAATTATATACATAACAAAGAAAGGGACAAGAATTTATATACGAAAATGAATTCTTCAAAAATTCGCCAAATGATTACCTACCTCATATTTTTGACAATAATATCAAACGGTACCCTACGACACATAATTTCTTTTCCTTGCAAATCGGACAAAAGCCCTCCGAGGCAAGAGGGAGAGGGTCTTAATTAACACATGAAAGAAGCCGCCAAAGCTTAGAACTCACAAAGAAAAGTACTGTTTTGTAACTTAAGAAATTTACGAATGTATTGTGAAGAAAATTACTGGGAAGTTGTTAGTATAACAATTATGACACATTGAGTGTTTTCTTTTTACTCTTATCGTTCTCATAAACGTTTTGATAATTTTAGTGCTTTTGTTGTTATCTTTTTTTTCAGTGTAGATTTTTTTTTACTTATATTAAAGTCGAAACTCTTTCTTTTAATGTAAAAATTCTTTCTTATCCAAAAGTTTTTAAAGATTGTTTTCAATTGGTTAATATTATTAATAACACAACAGCTACATATATAAAGCGATAGTCACACCTAAACCTATCTCTTCAGTTTAAGCCGTAAAATATATTCCTGTAAACCGAAGGCTAGATAACCTCAAATATTTTTCGAATACACCGCATGTTTTATGTGGTAATATTTTACCTAAGCTCAGGTGCGACATCTACTACAAAACGATAGGTACTCTTGCTGTAACAAATATCTTGCACCTGTTCTCGTGTATGTATGTGTACCTACACTTTATAGTTGTTTGTGGATATTGTGGTTACATATTCACGTCAGCAAATATCAAACCTTCAATCCTTATAGATATGTATTATATATCATAATCATCAGCCATTATTATACTATATGTATAGTGTCCACTGCTGAGCAAAGGCTTCTTCTAACACGTAAAAGGTTTGCGCACTGATCACCACGCTTGCTAAAGGCAGATTGGCGATTTCTAATATAGAATAGGAAATTATAGGGACAGTGTTCCTTACGATGGTGGCCAGATACATAATTTTGAAAAAGCCGCATTTATACTTGCCAGGTATCGAACCAGCGCCCTCATACATGAGACATGGCACCTTAACCTCCACAAAAATAGTAATCAAATAAACAAAAACTAACTTAATCTAACGAAAATTCCTATAAAGCCATGACCAAAATCATCAGGTTGTCTAAAGAATCTTAAAAAATATAAATAAATAAGAAAAACTTTTTTATATCTACATAAATGTTTGTTATAATTTTCTCAGTTGGTTGGTGCGAAAAAAAAACAATTAAAAAAGCTAGAATACATTATTTATTAACATAATATAACTCAGAGATAAATAGGACCGCACTCTAGTCTTGGAAGATTCGAATCGCTAGTCACCAGTCATCATCGCCATGAATTCTGAAAGTTTAAAAAGATGTTCAAACCAAATAATTTTAAGAAACTAAGTAGGTTTTGTCTTCTTTATATGCATTGTTATGTCAAATTTGTGATGATTCAGCACCTATGTTAGGAAAAGAAACCAAACACTTTTATCATAATCTTTTGAATTTACGGATTTCATCTTCTGCAACATCATCGGCCCAAAAATACGCCTTTTGGATTAAAAGGCGTATTTATGGCGTATACAGATTATAAATCCCAAAGTAACTGCAACAAGTCACTATTCCACAGAACAAAAAGTCGCTAGTAACGATAATAAACGCAAAATTGGTAAGTAGACATGTATGGACGAATGCTTGTAACTTTTTCACATAAAAACTACTGAACGGAATTTGATGAAAATTGGCACAGATATCGACTATTTTTGAATAGTAACTATCGTGAGACATACTTAACGATTTATTTCCGTGAATTAACTGAAAAATAATATTCATTTTACACATTATGTACCTTTTCCACGGACAAAGCCACTAGCAGAAAAAAGAACTCCTTTAAGATAAAATTCGTACCATCAAAGTCCACGGTGCCTGAAGCGTCAGTGTCGATCTCAGCGATCATTTCGTTCAGCTGGTCTGGTGTGAGCTGCTCATCTAGAGCTGCCAGGATCTCTCGGAGACTTGACGTGGGGATGTAGCCATTGCCTGAAATTACAAGTAATTGAATTTAAATAATATAACATTATGTCATGTTGTTAATCCCAGTAACACAGTTTTTTTGGGAAAAGAATAAAAACTCTTTTGTCATAAATATGCAGAATATAAAAGATTTAAGCGAGAAAGAGGGATGGAGCTATGAAAGCTCCATCCCTCTTTCTCGCCGGGAAGATTGACGCGTTAGCACGTCATGGTAGGTCTTCTGGTCTTGAAACAATTCGTAGTTCAAAAATATTTCCTTCAATTAAAACAATTCCGACCAGTTCAGTACTTTCTAACTACCACGAGCCCTTTAGAGAATTCCAAATTAAAACAATTTAATTTTAATTTCTGTTAAGATAGAAATTATTTTCCATTGAATACTGAATAATAAATTATTTCAAGGCTAGACATAAATTATAAAATTGCCACTTCTAGGTATAATACAAATTATTATAAAACTAAATGAATAACTCAAAATAAAAAAGGCTGGACATTCAATGACACACAATAAGGAGGTTCAGACTACCTGATTCTTATAACGTGAGCAGTAAGGACTAAGTTTGATTTATGGGTTATGCGATATCAATATTAATTAATTTAACATCTTCAGTTAGAAATTCCAAAATAGACTTAGATTATTTAAGACTTAGTTTGTATGATTTGGACCATGTCGTGGTGGGCCGGAGGATAAGGAGCCCGCTCCTCATGCATGAGGGTGTGGGTTCGAAACCCGGCAAGTACCAATGTGACTTTTTCCGAGTTACATGTACTTTCTATGATTATTTAGACACCACGGACATACGGTAAAGGTAAACATCGGTAGGAAACCTGGACTTATAATTTGGACTTATAAGTTTGAAATGGTCAACCCGCATTAAGCAAGCGTGATGATTAATGCTCTAACCTTCTCCGTATGAGAAGAGGCCTTTGCTCAGCAGTGGGCACTTATACGCTGATGATGATGATGGTGATTGTATGATTTATCGAAGAGAAATAAAATTCATAAAATCATTGTTTGCAATCCTTACTAACATTTTTAAATAGATTTCGATAGAAGTATATTTTTTTACTTTTATATTTATGATATTCGTTTTCTTTGTCTTATTATCTGGAGTTAGAGAATTTTTTCATAAATTTTCAAAAGTTAGATAAGTTAAGAAAGTATCAAGGTATCTATATATATAAAAGAAAGTCGTGTTAGTTACACCACTTATAACTCAAGAACGGCTGAACCGATTTAGCTGAAAATTGGCAGGGAGGTAGTTTAGAGCCAGGAGAAGGACATAGGATAGAGTAGGTTAGGTAGAGTGGGGTAGGGAGAGTAGGGTAGGTAGAGTAGGGTAGGTAGAGTAGGGTAGGTAGAGTAGGGTAAGAACAGTAGGGTAGGTAGAGTAGGGAAGGTAGAGTAGGGTAAGAACAGTAGGGTAGGTAGAGTAGGGTAGGAACAGTAGGGTAGGTAGAGTAGGGTAGGTAATCAAATGACGGGAGCGACGCCGCGGGTAAGAGCTAGTCTTTTTATAATATACACATACAACAAATAACAATTGAAAAGTTCTTTATGTGTCTAGACTGTCATTCTTCCACACCGTCATCCACTTATAAAATCATCAAAACGATATAATTTATGAGGAAAACAGCCTTGGTGACTGTCTTATGACATTTGCGTGATACGACCGCGTAAATTTTTCACCTACAATCGAGTTTTTTTTTGTTTTGACATTCTAATATTGAGTGTGATCGTATAAAAGTGTTGTCACGGAATTTCATAAATGTCCACTGTTATTTTATTCAATGTATATCATTCGGGGTTTAGTAATTTATGTCTGGTTTGGTTTTTTTATTGTTTTATCAGTAATGTTATGTTTGATTGAGTATAGAGGTTGTATTGACTGCAAGATTAAATGTGGGAAGAGTTATTAATCGACTTGACTATGAGAAATACGAATGTTAAATCATGGTATTAGTATTGGATGGGTCTTATTAATGACTAATTAATTCTTATTAATTACTTTTCTTACTTGAAGTCTTAAGACAAATGATTGCACACAAATCGAATTATTACTGTCAAGAATTTGAACAAGGGCGATGCAACATCTAGAAAAAATTCGGAAAAAAGTCTTTCGACTTGCTGGAACCATCAAGTGGAAGATTATAATCATCATCATCATCATCATCATCATCCTGTTGTCGTCTACTGCTGAACATAGGCCTTCCCAATTGCACGCCTCTTCTCATCCAACCACTGCCAGCCACCCTGCGGGTGTCGTCAGTCCACAATGAGTGGAAGACTCATTATCGTCAAATTCTTTAAAGTGCACTCATGACAGTCGCGCAGAATCGGAACCTGTGAATGCAGATGGATGATCCAAATGCGATTCCAATCTTGACCACGATCCTCAGGTATTTATGAGAGATCGTTCTTAAAGTCGAGAATTTCACAATCGGAAACCCAAACGAAGAGACGATTGATAATAATTTAAATGAATTAAAAGATTCTTCCCATTCGCCTATAAACGTAACAATTGGAAACAATTTCAATTAAAAAGCAATCATCATTTATCGATTTTTCATTCGTAAAATATTTTGGCAGACAGAACTGTTTTCCAATTAGGTATACGACACAGAAATTATAACTTTTATATGTATATATGTATTGTGTTGTGTTGCAAAAAGTATCAAGTTTGTCAAGTATAAATTATTACGTCTATAAATCATAGAATGGGTAAGCACTTGAGAAACTAGAGCACCTTTACACATTAAATAAACTATCACATGGTTTTTGGGTACATTACAAGGAATTCTCAAAAAATCTAGTAATAATCCTATTACATTTTTCTCTTTTTCTGATCATTGAAAGAGCGTGGTAGCTTCAATTATGATCACTATACCAAAAAAAAGCAGTACCTTCTCCCACCTGAAGTTGGGCGAGAGGTAATGTCAGACTTACGGACTAAAAACCACTCCGTTCCTTCTTTTGTACCGGGCTGGGTTCTTGGTATATTATTGTGCTTGAACCTGTGCATTCTCGGTAATAAAGTAGTACCTATTTTTAGATAAACATACTTGTATATAAAGGGTTAAATTGAGGCTCTTATTAATCTTGTCATAAGAGCCATATTATGACCGTTTACAAGCGGCTTAGGTCAAATCGTATTATGGAATGATTGAAACTGTTTTGCTTGGATGAGTGGTTCGCACAGACCAAAATATGGATATGGTATCAGTTATGTTTGGTAAAAGTTGTGTGTATTAATTCTTGAATTTGAACTGCTTTCGGTTTGTTAATAGTAGCAGTTTTATCATCGAGAAAGATAAACTATGTTAAACCTACCCTCAGTAATATGTATGCAATTTTAAGAAGATTATTAAGGCGGATAAAAAGTGAAAAGTTATAGAAGATCATACAATCTTACATCCACTTTAAAAGCAATCTTTGAGACAGTTTGTAGAATCTAGTTGTGTATATTATAAACGCGAAAGAGTCAATGAATTTATTACTTAAATATTTTTTTTTGTTATTGTATAATTCGGTTCCTGACTTTGCTACATTTATAATAAAAATATATACATTTCTCATTAATAAAACGAGATAAGGCAGTAATTACGTACCCCCCTAATTAATCAAAAGATTTACCGTACAACCAATTTACCTGGACCGTGGCACATATTTATGAGAATTAATTTTGTACCGTTTGTCACAAGGTACAAAATTGAATGAGTAGTGTTCCATCAAGATTAAATACGTATTTGTTTCGTACGCACAGAAAATAATGAGTATTTTTTTTATAGATTGATACAATCAATGCTTTGAACCAATCTTGTGGTATATGTATATCTATATGTTGATGATGAAGTGACATATTTTATAGAAAAAATTTTTTTTTTTTACATAACAATAAGCGAACAGATTTTTTTGTAAGTAGCATTTTCTTGTATTTTATTGAAATGGGAGCTACAGTTTTTTTCGGCCACAGGTCCTCTCACATTTTTGCGTCCAATAGAAAATTAAGTAAGGTCACACCATTGGACGTTTAAAACATCATTCACATTAATAAAATAATAAAATTTGTCAGTGATTGGGAAAATTAAATTTTGATAATATATATTAGCGCCATCTGGTGAGCAAAAAAGGTAGCCCCCATTTCAAATTGCCTTAGGTCTTATAATTACGAAATTGTAGTCCGGTACCTTGGAGTCGTGGGTCTAGCAAAATATTAAAGAACAAAGTCCAATCGTTTATAAAACTTACATTAGTTCTGTAAGTGATCTATAAATGCACGATTCTATGCAGATTCAATTAAATAAAACTTTATCTACAAAGCTTATAAATAAAACAATACCTACTACAATAATTCGCACCCAACAATTCTATAAATCACGGCCACGAGAAAAGACGTTTAAAATTGAGAGCATACATCACTTACTTTATATACCTACCTACATACCACAAAATTATATAAATGTCAACATAATTTACCATCAAACACAACAAGGTGGTACATAAAACATACATTTTACGATTCTCACGCACTTGTCGCAAAATTTCGAGATTTTTATCACGTTTTCATAGTAATTCTATCGTCGACCAATCGTAGGGGCGTTTGGCGTTGATCCAAGTCATCGATTGAAGTATATAACACAGCAAGATTATCACTGAAAACACGCAATGAACAGTGAAAATTGGATCAAATGTTATATATGATTGAACTTCACGATTTTCTTTATGATAAACGACAATTTTATTAATTATTTTTTTCTTTTGGTTTTTATTTATTTATTGGTATGATTTTTCACGCTATTAAGACGCAATATTTTTGTCTTATGAGTTTTTGATCGAATTGATAGATTAAAAAAAAAACACGATGGGTTTCAGCGATAGCCAGCTGAGGGTAAAGCATTCGCTTCACATGCAAAAGGACTTTTTCCAAGTTATACATAGACAATATACTAGTATTTACTTTCTAAGAATATTTTGATACCACTGTCAAAAAGTGTAGGAAAAGATTATTTGGAAACTTGGATGTGTCTGTATTTTCAAATTTTATTCTAATTTTGAACTTGCTTATGCGGATAAGCACTGCTAAGCAAAATCTCTTGTCACGCGGAGAAGGTTTGAGCCATAATCACCACGCTGGCTGAAAGAGGATTGGCAATTTCTAACGTATAATTAGAAATTGTAACTATAGTTTTTCTGCATCGTTTGTTAGTGGTGTTTAGTATAAACTTTTTAAGTAGGTAGGTATGTATAACTCGGAAAAAGTCACCCTAGTACTTGTGAGGTTTTGAGCCCGCATCCTGGTGCATGAGAAGTTGAGATCTCTTGTCAACCATGACAATATTAATATTCCTAAATCAAGCGGGTGATTGCCTGGGCTGAGCACCGCCGTGTCCTCAGGGAAGTGATCGGTGGCGGCGACCTCTCGCGCCCGGCCTTTGTCGAGGCCATAACGCGGAGTAAGAGGAACTGGGACGCCGTTTCCACCTTCTGTGAAGCAGTTATGTTCGCAAAGAGGGAGGAGGCCCGCGTGAGGGAGCAATCCTCCTCCTCACGCCCCAGCCGCCGCAACAGGCGACACTACTGGCGTCGGGGATCAAGAGACGACCTCCGGCCACCGTAAACGCGGGTCTGCGTCCGGCGAGTTAAGGACAGCTCGCCGCCCGACCAGATCCAGGCCCTTGTGTACGGCGTATATCGTTCCGCGCACGCCTTAAAGAGCCAATAGACCACCATAGACGGGGCTGATGTTCAGCCGGGGTTGCGGGGTAAGCGCAATGAGGCACCGCGACCTCGGCTCAGAGCAGAAGAAGGAACAGGGAGGTTTCTAGTCAGTAAGAGTCTGACCTCCCACGAAAATCATCAAAAGACTTCCCCTCAAAATGATTTTCCCCTCAAAAAAAAGCGGGTGATATTATTGTTTGAGTAAAATGTTGAAAATAATATAACATTATCGGAACCAGTAAATACAAACTTTCGCTGTTCCACGTTTGTTTTTAAACGGCCATGTTTGTTTAACAAATCGGAGTCAATAAAAGCAAATCGAATTGCAAATGGAAGTTATAAAAATGCAAATACAACGTACCTACATAAACAAGAAACATTTTATTTCACGCAGATCGGTAGCCATCTTTGATCAAGCACACCGCAAAGTTTGGAAAACTTCCCTGACGTTGATACGAAAATAGCCTTAAAACTTTCCAAGTTAGAAACCATTATACTATGAAGCTGTTCTTCCGAATTTGTGTAAGGTCTAAAAGTTTTTAATACAATTTCCATATGGAACGAGTAGATTTTGTTGTTGTGAGACACTTTTTTAAGTTTTAACTAGTTAAATCCAGTTGGATCTGGTTTTTGTACGTGAAACGACTTAATGAAATTTGAAATTCCTTTATTAAGTGTAGTAAGTTGAACACTATTTAGTTTTTTACAAAATTGCCAAATGTGGAGAATTAACTTAAAATTATAATAATTAACCACCTAAATGGTTGAATAAGAACAATTTGGTGTGTAAGTTGCACCTAATCGTTCTTTATTTATTTTTATACATATACTGTCACTGCAAAACTGCACTGTTCTCGTAGAAACGTTTTATTAATCAACGACAGACAAACTGCTGTAAAATATTTTTATTTTATTTTATTTTTCCAATGCAACTACAATCCGTCACATAAATAATACTCAAACAAAAAAAAAACAAAAATACCTACTATCAATAAAATGATATTGTATAAATAATAAAACCTATTTTTATAACCTTGACCGATTTCAAAAAAGGAATTCTTCATATAATAAATGATTCATTACGTTCAAAATTACACGCGCTTCATTGCCAACATCATAATTTAATTTAAAAATTTCTTATGGTTTTGTATCTGCCAACATTAAGACAAAAAATAATTGGATTTTTCTCAATCATCTATGTAATTTGAAGAGAAAATATTTTGATTTGCCTTCAAAAAGGCACGCGTAATTTCTCTATACTATTTTTATTGTTATGCCAAACAATTGCATTCATTTATCTTGAAGAAATCATTTTTTTGGTTACAAAATAATAAAAAATATAATATGTTTATTGGGTACTCATGTGAAGGTGTTGGAACAAGCTTCAATCTAGTTTAGGACTAATGCTCCTAGAAGCTATTCATTCAACCACTTCGCAAATCAGAATCAGATAAATGACTACTACGGATCTAGTAAATAAATAAAAATAAAAAACTGCTTACCTTCCTTATCATAAAGTCTGAAGGCTTCTTTAAGTTCTTTCTGTAATTTCTCATCGTCTTCTTCCAAGAAGTGAATGGCGACGCGCACAAATGAATCGAAGTTTAGCTTCCCACATGCTGAAAATAAATAGAAATATTTTATGGTTATTTAATTAATTACTACACCAAAAAATAACGATCTAAGTATATTGTATAGAAAAAATCATCCAGTATGTATTTGTAGTCAATGGAAAGGGTCCTACTTATAATGTATGTTTGGTATACGTTCACGCAAAAACGAATGAACCGATTTCCGCCCAGGGTTGGGATCAGTCACCATTCCACACTCCAAGCTGGCTATTGACAATTATTCATTATCCTATTATTGGCATTTATCCTTTTTTTATGGTATAAGTCGGTAAACGAGCATACGGATTACCTGATCCGCCCATGGCCACGCCAACACCAAAGGCGTTACGAGTGCGTTGCCGGCTTTTTGGGGATAGGGGTTGCGGATATAAGGATTGGGAAGGGATAGGGGATGGGCGGCACTCACACGGCGAAACACAACGCTGTGGGTTGTTACACGCTGGTATTCTGTGAGGCCGTCCTAGTTGAGGATTAAAAACGCCACCTCTTGCAGTAATGACAACCATTAACCACTTAATCCTTGTCAGCTAATAGTGTTGCACTAACGGGACTTTAATTACATCGTTAGATCTTAATTGCTGGGATGAAGTGCGATGTAGGGATTATCAGGGAATCTTAGTATATGTCTTGTTCGTGGGTAGTTAAATAGCCTCCATGTTATAAGTATTGATTTATGATAATATCTACTCTAAGCGAGAGTAATTCTTGCTTCACTTGTGCTGGTCTTGGTCTAGTTCGATAAAACTGCGGAGCAAATGGTCCTCGGACACGATGGACCCGGGTTTTACTAAAAAAAAACATTTTGGCATAATAAAACGGATTCTAATAGGGCAGTAAACGTGAGTACGGTTGACCGGACTTTTTTTTTGTCAGGACAAAATCATCAAATGACTTCTCCCGCCCAGGGTTAGGCGAGCGAGAGTGTCAGACTCTTACCGACTAAAAACCCCCCCGTTCCTTCTCCTGTTTTGGGCCGAGGCCGCGGTGACTCATTGCGCTTAACCCGAAACCCCGGCTGTCGGTTCCCCTGACTTGAGTCAGGAATCAGTCCCACCCCACAACACCAGAGAAGTAAGAAAAGTTCGGGAACTTTAGAAGGTTAGAAGTTTTAGTTTGCGTAAATGTAAGCGTTATTTTGCGCCGATTTTCTGAGGGGCGGCTGATATCACTACGTTCGTACTAGCCCATTAATGCCGATACATGAATCACCCACACAAATGTATCTTGTTTGTGGCTTCTTAAATTGCATTCATGCGTGTTGTTATATATTACACCCTTATGACTACACGAACACGTCGTCAATAGTTGCACACAGACGTACAAGTCATGTATATGTGACCAACTAACTATTCCTGCGTTGGTCATAAAAAGCGTAATGTTATGAGTATAATTCTTCCTTGCTTGTTCACTACTCATCATCATCATCATCATCATCATCATCAGCCTGTTGTCGTCCACTGCTGGACATAGGCCTCCCCAATTGCAAGCCACTGAGCTCGATGTTCAGCTCTTCTCATCCAACCACTGCCAGCTACCCTGCGGATGTCGTCAGTCCACCTAGCTGGAGGGCGTCCTACACTACGTTTGCCTAGACGTGTTCAATACTAAGTAAAGGTCTATTCTCAAATATTTTCTTACTTATTTAAATTATAAATGCGAAATGTTTGGTTGATTTATACTGAGATAGTTTGGTCACTGAAAATTTGTGATACAGGCTAATGTTTTGCTGCTTGAGTTCCACTGGGTTATGAAGTTATGTATATTAGATATCAAGTTAAGCTAGAAACCTAATTAAATGGAATTGGTTCATAAAGTTTGAAACTTGAACTATACATATATGTATTATGTATATGAACTTGCAAACTTGTATACAGTTTAAAATTTTTAGTGTTTATAATAGAGTTCTATTCTAATAAGTGACACAGAATTGCATTCTAACTGATAGATTGGAATTAGAACAATGTTATTAATCACAAAACGTATTATACACATACAATATTAACCCTTCGAACACCAAGCGGTAACCGGTTGCCGCTTAGGGTTTGAGTGAACGGCGCAGTGCGTAAGGTCCGGCAACCGGCTACTGCTTGTTGGTCGAAGGGTTAAATAACAATTTTGAAGGGGTTTAATATTAATTTCGTCGGTTGTGGTGTCTCGGAGGTTTGTTTTTTTTTTGATGGGGGAAAACTATTGACCTTCTATCTGCCGGTATATATGACAAACAATAGAAAACACATTGTATCTCGCGTGGATCTCAACTCTGGCATATCACGGGTTAAGTGACTTCTGGAAGTTTTGGACTCTTACTGACTGAAAACCCCGTTCCTTCTACTACTGCGAGCTAAAGTCGCTGTATATTACTGTGCTTGAGCCACACCCGCTTAATGTACCCACTTCTCTTGCAGAAGGTTCGGATTCGAAACCTAAAAGTACCGAAGCTGAAGGCTTCTTAAGTTCAAGTTCTATGTACTTTTTAAGTTTAAAGTTTAAAGTTAATGGAAATAAGGTTTTGGAATTGCTAATCAGACTTGAGCAAGGGTGGTGATAGATGCTCAAACCTGCACCGCGTGAGCAGTGGCCTTTGCTTAACTAAAGGCACTTATGGAATGACGATGATGACGTATATATATATAGATACGATAGGAGCATCAGATTCGGATACAATAACGTTTTTTACGTGAGCATTTAACGAAATACCTTGACAAGTTTTAGGCCACGTCAGGGACTTATAGTATTGTGCAACTAATGTTAAAGCGAGTTTTAATAATTTATATGTCTCACAAGAGTAGTATTTTTGTTGTGTAAAGTAACGGAAATTTGTTTTTTAATTTTGCTATGGACATAGTTAATTTTTTAGTCCAATAAAATGGTATTTCTATTAAATATACCTACATAATCTTAACTAGAAAGCCATTATGTAGACGTACATGCTTTAAATAATAAAGTAAAAACCCATATTTTATTTCAATGTCTTACTCGTCAATTTAAGAAGCTGAATTAAGAAGAAAACATCAAATACGTATTATTATTAATTTGAATTGAACAAAGAATCTCTCATTGATACAAATTGTTTGAACAACACTAATGACATTTCAAAAACAATTAGATACCCTTTTAAAACAAATGCTCAAACACAAGACTAAGTGTCTGGCAATAAAAGCGAAGTGCAATCAACATCGTTTGTAATTACTTTTCTAACGTCAGCTTCTGTCGTAACGGATTTAATCAGAGCTGAAGATAATCTTAGCGTAATGGTTATTGCTATTACCGAGTAAAAAGTACCAATTGTTATTCGAGAATAATAAAACTAGGTTTTTTTTGTGAGGGGAAAATCATCAAATGACTTCTCCCGCCCAGAGCCGGGAGGGACAGAGTGTCAGACTCTTACTGATTAAAAACCCCTGTTCCTTCTCCTGCTCTGGGCCGAGGTCGCGGTGCCTCTTTGGGCTTACCCCGCAACTCCGGCTGAACAATAAAACTAGGTGTGGTTAGGTTTTCGCACTGAGAAATGTTAAACTTTGTGTCAGTCTTCCCTTCTCTTCACTGGCTCCTGCACGTCGATTCTATAAAATTTGTCGAAATATGACGTATAAATCTTGTTCGAGTTTGAAGTGAGCGTCGAAGTGATGGAGAAATTACATTTTAGAATGACACTTTTAACGTCATCTCATACTTTTTCTATCAAAATGTTGCGGTCAATTTAGTTCAACTCGCAAGTGTAGCGCTAGTGGACTACTACTCACAGCGGATTCAGATTCGAAGTTTAGAATGAAGTCTTACAGAATAACACAGCTGACCTTTGTCTAACATTGACTGTGCAGCTGGACTATGGATGATGGAATCTCGTTGTGCAATTTTACAAATACTGCTGTCCTGTGATCAACTTCTACCATCAACCCTCCACAAACTAGCCGGGGTTGAGGGTTAAGCACAATGAGTCACCGCGGCCTCGGGCGAGGCCAGGAGAAGGAACGGGGGGTTTTTAGTCAGTAAGAGTCTGACACTCTCTCTCGCATAACCCGGCGGGAGAAGTCATTTGATGATTTTCCCTGGACAAAAAAAAAGCTCTCCACAAACTGCCCTGGTGAGAAGTAGCCAGTGTAATAGATGACGCGAAAAAGTAAATATCTAATCATAATTGGAACTTTAACATCCATGGATTGGTTCAGAATGTTGCATACCCACTTAATATAAAATTCAAAGACTAAACATGATAATATTTCTTGCTAAACGCTTAACAAGAGAGATCAAAGCTTGTACATACTCCCAATAAAACATATGTATATAAGATAGGAATAAACAAAGAAATGTTGACATATTTTCTTGTTATTTCAAGTTGAGTGAATCTGATGACCTAACGAAGGTAAGAGAGGGTAGGTAATTTGGAGGGTCATTGTGACAGGGTCGTTTTGAACGACCACAAAAAATCTTTTATAAAGCCAAAAGTATTCAAGATCTCTTATAATCTTTGTAAAAAAACGTACTAGAGCGAAAGAATTCGGCGCCTGACCTCGTTGCGGGTACGGATATTTTGGGTCTAAAGGCTTTGTGAAAATTTTACATACATTTTTCTTGGTATTATTTTGTGATAGATGTACAGAAGAGTGGGTGACATTTATTCCAGAATAAAGATAAGGTAAAGATGAATATAATATCTTTTATATTACTCTTATGTTGTGAGTGTTGTTGTTATTGACACGAGTTTGTGATCCACAAATATCTGTAGGTCTGAGTATCATGTATAGGTTTTTTTTTTATGAGGGGAAAATCATCAAATGATTTCTCCCGCCCAGGGCCGTCAGGTGGCCGTGGTGGCCGAGTGGTAGGGAGTGTCAGACTCTTACTGACTACAAACCCCCTGTTGGGGGAGATCGTCCCTTGGTCCCCGACGCCCGTAGTGTCGCCTGCTGCGGTGGCTGGGGCGTGAGGAGGAGGATTGCTCCCTCACGCGGGCCGTCTCCCCCTTTGCAAACATAACTGTTTCACAGAAGGAGGAGACGGCATCCCAGTTCCTGTCGCTATCATCTATATATAATCGCATCCACGACACATGAAAAATCTGTGTCTCTGTCGGTCTGAAGCAGGACAAGGTATTTTGTATAAAAATGGTACAAAAACAAAAAGAAGGTAGTTGCTTATTTACTCAAGATCATCACACCAGATTCAACAAGAAAATACTCTCGTTGCGTCGTCCTAAAACCGGCATACCGAGCGTCTATTCCCGTCAAGGCACATGGCGTCTACCTTTAATTGAAGCCATCTTGTCTCGCAGCAAATTACCGTGACTTTGTTATTTACGCGAACGACAGTTGACGGACTAAAAGACGCAAAAGTAACCTCGTTCTTGTTGTTGCGGCGGGTTGTTTACTTTGATTGGTATTATTTGGTTAAGCCTCGGATTGTAGTGTCGGTTTTTTAACAAAATATAACACACATTTTATCGTATTTTCTTTTGTTTACAAAAATATTAGGAGATGTCCTACACCGTACATCGTACCTACACATATTCTAATATAAATGTACAATAATATAATTTAAATCAATAAATGTAATAAAAATGAGACATTTTACATGAATAATTAACGAACATTTCATCAATTACACTTCAGGCCAATATAAAATAGGTACACAAAATAAAAAGAAAATGAAAAATCACAACGACATTTCAAATAATAAAATATATTAAATTATTGTACTTTATGAAAGTCAACCGTGAGCCGATGAAATATTATAAGCTTGCGAGAATTTATCAGTGTTCTTTTAAAGTGTAGTGCAGATATACGGGCGATTGTCAGCAGGAAATAAAAATGTCACTGCTTCGGATAAAGTGTGCGCTGACTTTTGAAGGAAAACAGAACTATTTCCCAGACTTATCGTCGTGAGCACATAAACTTGGCTCTTTAAACACTTTAAGGTGAGATTAACTGTAGCTATTTTTGTTAAAATAATTGTCGACCGCTGTTTTATGTTATTCTTGTTAGAATACTGAGCTTTGATTTAAAATTATGTTTTCATTTCGCGACGTGAGATTTTCTTTTATTTTGATAGAGTGGACTAGCAAATATGTTAATCATTGTGACACTTCGTGAAGAATTTTAAGACATGTATTATCTTTGATTGTTATTTATTATTACTTACAATGATACTCCGCGATAAAGTGTAAAACTTCAGCTTTGAAAAATATAAGCATCTGTTTTTACTTTCAAACATTTTCTGACTCACCTTCAGCATCCTCGCTGTCCAGCATTCTGTCAAGTTCCAGGTCGTCGTAATTGTGCACCATAGTGTTCAGTATTGTCCTGACTTTCTCCTTCTCAATGCGGCCCTGCTTCTCTGAGTCGAACATGCTGAACGCGCGCCTGAGCACTGTCAAACAAAGAAAAAATGATATTTTTATGTTAAAAAAATCTGTAGCAAACTTTTAAAGAATGGTTGGATATATTTGAAATGTGGGAAGGCAATGCTTTCGGACGAATGGCTCGGGTTGACCGGAGTGATACTACGGCCTCGGAAAACCGGTTTGAAACAATCACAGCAGTGTGTTTAGCTATGTGACATCTTTAAATTTACATCCTATTTACCGTTTTTTTTTATGTAATAGGTCGGCAAACGAACAGACGGATTACCTGATGGTAAGCAATCAGCGCCGCCCATGGACACTCGAAACGGCGGAGTTACGAGTGCGTTGCCGACCTTTTAGGGATTAGGGATTTGGAGATTTAGGGATTGAGAAGGGATTGGGGAAGGGGAAGGATTGGGCCTCCGGCAACCTCACTCACACGGCGAAACACAACGCAGTGAGGCCGTGGTATCACTCCGGTCGAGCCGACCCATTTGTGCCGAAGCATGGCTCTCCCACACTTATAAACGGTTTACCGGGTCGCGTCTACGTCTTAACCCACATTTCTTTTCTGTACTGACATTTTGTAAACAACTCAAGTTACCGAAGCACCTAACTCCCTTCAAAAACAGATCCTCTAAACAACCAAAAATTAGTTATTGATTTCACCCCTTCAAAAGTCAAGTAACGAAACTTTTGAGGGCCTACTATTAATTTTTCGATACGAAATTTAGTTTTCAATGTAATTTTTTTATTAATTTTTATATCTGATTAAACTTTTTCGGATGTAAAGGACGAATTTGAATGCGAAGATTTAGGTTTTGTGAATTACTGGAGTCAAAAAAATTTTGAAGTGGGAGAGACAAGCTTCAGCACGATTGAGTCGGTTCGGAGTGACACGGCCTCATAGAAAACCAAAAGCATTGTGTTTCACCGTATTAGTGAGGTTACCGGAGATCCAATCCTTGATGGGGGAGGGCCCCATCACTTCTCATTCCCTAATAATTCTACGAATTCAAAAAGCCGGCTACGCACAAGTAGTTACTATGGTGCTTGGCCTTTAGATAGTGCCGACCGTAGCGTACCGTCAGAAAATCTGTCAACTTGTTTGAAGCCCATCACATAACAACACACCAAAAAGAAGGTTTGGAATTCCAATCCCCTTAATCTATCTAATTTCCATCATGTTATCTATCTGTTTATTTGCCTCCCAACGTCACAAAAACTTTTGAGCACATATTACTTCTTCAATAACGGTTTTTAAGTTCTAGAAAATTTGTTGTAAGCCTTCAAGAATCGAAAACATCTATTAATTTCAGCGAGACTTTGAAATTCTGTAAACTCTTTACTTCAAAGGACCGGTGTCGGTAAAATGATAGGTATCGGCCATAGATACCGACTTAAGAAACTTGTTTAGCGGTGGTTGCTAAGGCAACGGGTTTGAAGTTATTATTTGGAACTTCAGTTCTTTAAATTAACAAACTTAAGTCGTTTTATTGTAGATTGAAATTGGGATTTTTTTTCTGAATAATAACTATCGTAAAACAAAATAATTTTAAATTAACTAAAAATCGCGGGTTACTCACGTGTACATATTACTTGTATGTGTATTGGGGTAGGCTGCGCGACGTCGCCGCGTCCGCGCACGCTGCTCATGAGGAAGAACCCCTCTGTGGTTCGAAACTAGTAGAGCTTTTCTCAATTGTAACCCGATTCTCAATTCTCACACGTGAGTAACCCGCGATTTTTAGTTAATTTAGTATGTCTCACGATAGTTATTATAAAAACAAAATAATTTTATTGAAAATAATCCAGTCCCACGCTACTCATGAGTCCGTGCGAGTTCCGTTAAATATTTTCTCAGTCAATTCACGTTCTTAAGTCAGTTTTATCAACAAATTAATGTAAGGTACTTAGAGTAAGTATACACAGAGACCGTATGCCAATTTTTTTTGCAAAATTACTTCTGACTGAGTGAAGTAAGTATCAGATTGCTCTCAATAGTTATTAAATATGAGCAATTAGATAAGAAAAATATTAGGATTTTTAGTCATAAGTTTTTAATAGTTATTATCACTAATACTCATTTTAAACTAATATCATACACATTTTTTATTGGCAATCAACGCTAAAAGATTGAGTTCAAAGAAAAACATTTTCTTTCTTTTTATTTAAAGGAAAATGTGTAAAAAGATATACCTAAACTGTTACAACTAAATTGAAACACGTTAAAATATTTTTAATTGTCTCGTCAGCTGTGGCTTAAAACGTTATTCAAACTTAACTCTTTGCCCGCGTTTGGCATTGTAAAGCTGAAACAATTTCGAGGTTCAAATGTTTTTTAGTTTACAGTGCCTGCCAGTAAAAAGTACAAAAATGTCGAGTGACTGTTGGTAGGTACTTACTAAAAACCGGTGGTACTTGTAAAATTAAATCTTTAGACACGCAATTCTTCGGTACGATAAAGTATGTTATTTTGAAACGTAACTTATCAAAAAGCTATAGTATTAAGTTATATAAAATTTTTATTACTCTACAATACTTTTCATTCTAAATTTCTTCTAAAAAACATATACCTATACTTCATCGTGGCAAAAATAATGTAAAAGCTAAATGAATAGCATTACATAACAGAAATCAAATAACTTGCTTTTTATTCCCCGAAGAGATAGATAGACAATTAAGAAAGCACATATTAAAATTGATCCCCAAATATTATCAGGTATGTTGTACAGTTCATTACCATGTCATAGAAGGTAAGCCAATTACTTGGTAACCAAACCAACAAACATCTTTAAAGAAAAGCTTCGAGAAAAGACCTTGCCTATTTTTGAAAAGACCGACAATGCACTTATTTATTTCCATGACAAAAGTCAAAAGCTAACTATCACAAGATGTCTGAATCTGCAAGTTTATTTTAGATTCCAAAAAAACAATAAAAAAACATTGTACTATATTTAGTGGCCGCCACTGTACAAAGAATGAATAATCCGAGGTGACAATTAAAATTGATTGCTTTTACTCCCAAAATCTAGTTTGTACTGGTAAAACTGAATTGTTGTTTTAGGAAATATTGATAAATATGTCATAGCTGTATGTGTGAGTATTGTACTAAGGGTGACAAAAATGCATGGAGAGCTTAAGGTCGACTATTGACTGACAGGTTTTGCATAACGCTACCGTTGATAACTAGATGGCGCTGCTTTTAAATGAAAATAACCCTGCAAAGCTTGAATACTTTACACTGCAGAGGCACACAATAAGGTTTTAATGGTTAAAATAATAATTAACAAACAATAATATATTTATATTCAAATACACATTAATTATGTTAATTTTCTTATTTCCGAGGACTTAATACAGCGCCATCTAAGTCAAGTCAAGCAAACCAATTAAAAGATGGCGTCAATAATTAATAATAGACAATATTATAAGTTAAAACTAACCCGCATTTTCAACATCATAAAAAATGCAATCGGTAGCTCGGATGATTAAGAATGATAGAATAATGAAGTCGAAGAGCACTGGTTCAATTCCGGGTTATCATTTTTAAATTCAGGTTTTTTAATAATGGTTTTTTTATATTTTTTATATAAAATCAATAATAATAAAATATTTGACGTTTAATATTTATAAAAGATAACAAAAAGAAATATATATATATTATTTTTGAATTAAATTATATTAATAAATATATATAAATAACTTTTATAATATGTGCTAACTATTAATGTAAAAGTAATATATTTTTCTTACCGATTAAGACTAATACTAAGTTTAATTCTCATGAAGGATAACAAATAAAACTATATTAGTGACATTATAATTCAGACATTTATTTCCTAAAACATAATATTTATTTCTTTCTTATATAGTGTATACCCTGACCTAATAACTTTTCAGCTAACTGACACATTATTTAATTCACTTTTGATAAGATTAATAAGTATTTTAAATCAAAATTGTGTTGTGCTAGTCATTTATTAGTTAGTTTTAAACACAATGTTATAATACAATTCTATATAATATGCAACCTTACTTCTGCAACTATTTTACCTCCCCATAAAATTTAATTAAAGTATTGACTAAAGTGATTTATTTTGTGCATCGTGTTATGACAAAGGCTCATAGCTTAAGTATTCGTTCCAGAACAAGGAAGAAATTGAAGCTAGACCTTAAATCAATAACATTTGTAAGACCGGAATATAGCAGTCATTAGATATGGGACGAATTGTTTATAGTAATAATAAATAAATAATTTATTATTTTGCAATCAAAAGCATCTGTAGATATTAATATTGCTTTTATTTTTATTTCTCATGTTTAGTAAAACATTAAAATATATACTGTAAATAACAGTTGCTGGTTATAAAGTTGTCAATAAATTTATCATACTAACACTAAGTTTGAACATTTATCCATAAGTTATAGCTACCCCGGTCTTGTAATTGCTTAATCCTATAGTCAACAATACCTTTTCTTTTAAGAACTCGTGTAGCCGTCATTTTTATCGATCCTATTTCTCCTATCTCGCTGGCCAAGGAATAATCCGTATGTCTGATTGCTGACTAAACACTTGCACAATTATGGAACATTACACATAGGACAATTGTCCTGCACGAACGTTATCACTAGCACATCTTCATGACGTCTTTCAGCATATCTATGTAGTTTTCACTGTTTGCATCACTGAAGATGACAATGCTCCAGTAATTTTCCTCATAACCTTGCCCCATAAGTTGAAGCTGGTCTGAGTGAATATCACGTCTTCTGCCAGATCCACAACGGTGCTCCAATGAACCCTCTTCTTGAAACAGCTTTAGATATCCATAAAGTGGCAGTCTTTACCTGTAAGGGACGTGTATTATTTATTATTTTCATGTATCGATAACCATGGATAATAAAATAAATAACGAACAGTCATTTTAAAAGAATACTTACGTTTAAGCCAGTTTCTCTAGACAGTATAATTTAAGCTTTGATTATGCAATGCTATTATTTGGGCCCTCGTAGCCATAACAATATTTGAACGCAAACTCATGATAAAAATAAATATTAAAAACTTGTTAAACAAATCGTAACTGAACTCACTCAAAGACAGTAAAGAATGTTATGATTGAACAAAAAGGTTTAATTTTTATACAGTAAATATTAAATTACCCTCAACTGTTTTGAGATTTATGATCGGGTTAAAGTTGCTAAACAACTTCAATATAATAAAGAGTAGGATAATTTCAATATGTTTCAAGGTTACGCAATGGCCTAATGGCTAGTGGCATCGGTAAATTTTATGCTACCGAGTTCGAATCCTGGTTATTGCGTGCTTTGCTTTAAAAGGTTTGGAATATCGTAGGATTAATTTGTGTAAAAAATATTATATCTGATAAAAACTATAAATGTATATTTTTCAATACCACTAGTATACTAGCGCCATCTATGTCATCCATGGTATATTATTCAGGCGATGAAACGCCGTACAAACGATTTTGATTTGGAATCCTCCATGCACTTATGACACTGATAGTACATTAATCTTTTGCTAGTAGAACTGTTGGTGAAAGGGATCTTTTGTTTTATTTTCGTTTCTAATGTCATTATATTACTATTATCATTAATGGAGTCCTTGTTCCATACGAGAAATGGGTTTATTAATTATTTTGTCCTATTAATGCAATAAAACATTCAAAAAAGGATCAAACTTTCATACACGGATTATAAGACATACTAAGGTACTAAATATTATTATTATTTCAAACAAACCTACGAATCCGTACGAAATTCATAAATCTTTTTTTTATGTAATAGATCGACAAACGAGCAGACGGATTACCTGATGGTAAGTAATCAGCGCCGCCCATGGACACCCGCAACGTAGGAGTTACGAGTGCGTTGTCGACCTTTTAGGGATTAGGGATTTGGGGATTTAGGGATTGAGGAGGGATTGGGTGTGGAGAAGGATTGGGCCTCCGGTAACCTCACTCACACAGCGAAACACAACGCTGTGGTTGTTTCACGCCGATTTTCTGTGAGGCCGTGGTATCACTCCGGTCGAGTCGACCCATTCGTGCCGAAGCATGGCTCTCCCACACTTTAAATCTATGAATTTCGTACTTTTTTATTCTGAAATTACTTGTACAGTCTAGGTAGTTACTAATAAATCTGTGAAACCCATAAAACAATGGGAATATCACCACCATAAGGTGCATAATAAACGGTCGACATGTTTTCATGTCGCCACCATTTTGTTCTTACACGCGGCGTGTTCCGAGTAACTATTAATTTTACTAGCAGCTCTTAATTAGCTTGTAATTATGTTGGAACAGCCGCTGTGATAGCTAGGCATGCACTTGAGTAATTTAATTTTAATCTTTTCGTTTTGCAATTTCATTTTGTAAATATGTATATTCTAGTGTTGTAATTCCTAATTAGTAGTACAAGTATAATAGTTATAGTAATAGTACAAAGTACAATATTTGGTTGGGCAAATAATTGCCAGAAGTATAAAAATGAACATTTTCATGGGACACGGAAGGATAGACGAAATATATTTTGTATCTTCCAAGTCGTACCTAAGTACGTATTCTGGACTTCTGCTCCTTTCGATCTGATCGCAAGTGTCGCCTAATATTCCAAATTTAAGTTTTATTTTTCTTAACGTTGTGGGTTATACGTTAATACAACTGTAATGTAACTACTTTATTGTTAATTCTGCAATGTACATATAACTGTTTTTTGTCCCAAATAAATTAAATAAAATATATTAGTTTGAAATTAATGAACTAAAACATGTATTAATCCTACTCACTTTTAAATGAAAAAAAAATCTCTTTATTTTTAAAGAGCTAGGCCTTAATAATCAATCTTCGCTAAAACAATGTAAAGAAAATACTGAGAGAGTATTAAAAAATGACATCACACAAAAAAAGGATTGTATGAACAATGCTATTGTGACACACGTAAGCACGTCTACAAATTAATTTCAATACATTTGTTTCTAAGCTAGGAGGGTAGGCTTTAACACAATTATTAACACATTTTGATATCTTAATCATCAAACTACACACAAAATCCAAGAAATTAATGTAACAGGCGACATTCTTAATCCATAATATTATCCACAATGAATAAAGAATTTCACTTTAATATTCTAAAGTAGAATTTAATCCAGCGTTGTTGAGAACAGCTGTCGAGTTGAAAAGGCTTGCAAAGATATTGTCTCATTCATGTCACGACTGTCTTTGTTCTCATATTGTAAAAGATCACTTAGAAAGTAACATTTTTATCTATTAATGAAAGAAAGTGCATCTCTATTATTAATGTTATTTAAAATATGGGTTTAAGTTTTTATGTATTATATAGGTAGGTAAATTTTGTAACAATAATGAATTGATAAATTTATTGAAAAGAGTAACCATGAATTTTCTTGTGCATTATTTTCCAAAGGAATCTACACTTTGGAACGAACAAATAGTTTCAATAGCGGACGTTCAAATGTGCCTGTGGTATTTGTTCTGTTTAAAGTGAATAATTTGACATTGACTTTTGAATATTATGTAATATAATCCCGATTTGCAATACGAAAAAATCGACCGAGATATTTCGCCAAAAAATAATAACGATTTATTAATATTTTGATCACTATTTTTACAATGTTAACCTTTTGCCGAACTAGACGAAATTTCGGAATTGACTATAGCTCTGTAGCTGGAATTTCGAAATTTGAGACCACTTTATCGGTAATTAAACTTAATAGCAATAGGTAGATTGAAATTCACACTTTTTATTGCATCTATAAATAATGTATTTTTATTTCTTATGAAACGATTTGCACACAGCTCGCGATTCACAGACGACGAATGAAGAGCATAAAACTTTTTTGTTCAGAAAAAAAAACTAAATTATAAAAGTTCGTACACTGTCTCCGAACTCCTTTGAGTTGGATGCTAAGTTTACTGCATTCTTGTATTGAAAAATGAGCTGTGTATTAAAGAAACTATTCAAAAGATTGTATGTATAGATTAAAAAATGCATAGGTATTTTGAATAAACATAAGAAAGTCTGTTCAATTTTGAACTTAGACTCAAATAAATTAAGGCACATCTGGTGCTAGATTTTACAATCACATTATGCATTCAGTGTAAATTTATATTTTGAATTGTAATAACTATGATTGTAGTTTTAATATGCAAAAACTGAAATTAAAAACCCTTGAGCAATGTAGTTAATAGATAACTTCGTTTCTTTCTATATTACTATATTCTCACACTCACAACCGACTAAAAATGGCCATCCATTTACGTAACTATAAAAGTACCAGAGAAGTAATACTATAATTAACGTCTATAAAGTGTGGGAGAGCCATGCTTCGGCACGAATGGGCGGGCTCGACCGGAGTGATACCACGGCCTCACAGAAGACCGGCGTGAAACAACCACAGCGTTGTGTTTCGCCGTGTGAGTGAGGTTACCGGAGGCCCAATCTTTCCCCGCCCCCAATCCCCCCTCAATCCCTAAATCTCCAAATCCCTAATCCCTAAAAGGTCGGAACGCACTCGTAACTCCTCCGTTGCGGGTGACCATGGGCGGCGCTGATTGCTTACCATCAGGTAATTCGTCTGCCCGTTTGCCGACCAATTACATAAAAAAAACATTAACGTAGTGCAAACCAACAATTCAGGAGTAGAGTTTTAAGGGATATTAATTTATTAAACAATAAGTTCTTATTACACGAAGCTAGGCCCTAAGCATGATTGTCATTGCCTACGAATAATCAAATATAGAATCAATCAAAAATGGCGCCGAAAGCGATGAGCGACTTAGCAATTTACTTCGCACATTCGGTTTTAAATTTTATTCGAACAGAGAAATGGATTATTTTATAGATGTATTTGCATGTTAGGATTTTAGATTTATATAATTTGATGTATTTAAAATTTTCTTTGAAAAATCTATATACTTATGTATTTTATGTCATTTAATTTAGGCAAAAAGCATTGAAGAAAAATATAAAAAATAAAAACTTATATGAATCCACATAATATGACTATCGAAACGAGAAAAGTATTGTCAACTTTTCATTTCTAATGCATGTTCACGCTTAGTAGAGTTTATCAGATACGTAATTAGAAAAACTTACTGATAATTTGTCCATCATCCCTTTGATCTTTTCTTCGGCTCTGTAATGTATAATATTACATACTTTGATTACTATAATTTTATTTGATTGTAAAGTAAAAACAAAACTAGAGAAAAAGAAAACAAATGTGAACAAACAAATTTTTAAAAACACACACCATTTTTGAATTATTAAATGTCAATTGGAACTATTCTAAAATTCAAAAATAAGCGGGATCTGGCCAGGGCGCGCGCGGCGTGTACACTAAACTGGCCGGTTAGGAACGTGTTCGAAATTTAAACGAGGTGTTACGGGCACAATGCTTGTACGGGACAATTTTACTTGGTTGACGTAGTCTTGTAGCGGCGGCCTAGGATTTATTTAAGATTATCATTATTTTAATATTTTTACACATATTCAATATTTCCTACAGGAAATGAAGCTTCATATTTCTATTTAATATGTGCGAAATTTGTAAACACCTTTTTTTCCGATTTGCGCAATTACATACTTTCATTTAATTTTTATTCAACATCAATAAACATTTTACAAGGACACAAGCAAAATTTCCACATTCGTACCTAAACATCTAAAATCAACAGACAAAGCAATCATATCAAAATATATAATTGTATAAATAAATTCGTTACATAAAAGCAATAATAGGATTAGTCGAACGTAATCGCATTTGCTCTCATTCTACGGCTGCAAACAGACTGTGAAACAGACCGCCATTTTGAATTTCCCTAGATGCTTAAAATCTGAACATTACCTCGATTTTCTTCTCAGGTAAATTTGGAATTGGATTGTACGTAAGATTAGAAATTTTAACATTAGCTTTATAGCAATTTTGTTTTGGAATGTCGAGAGTTTAATTATTTTTGTAGTTTGTTACTTTTTGTTAATTCAATTTACATTAACAAGTTATAACAACCTACATACACCTACCTACATACAGATTAGTACACAAGTAGTTAGGCACAAAAGTATAGAAGTGATCCTGGTGTACAATATTAATGCATTGTGGACGTGATAGAAGGTAAAATGTTTTGCTATACATACGATATAACAGAATATAATTGACAATGATTCAATAACTTGCCATTTCCTAATACACGAGCACATAATTGGTGAAATAAACCAGAAAAATGACTAATAGAGTTGAATTTGCTTTAAATTAATACGAAAATCGTGATACCAGGAGTGTCAATGGAAAACATAATAATATGACTTGAAATGTACATATTTCAACAATAGAACTCACAAACACAAAGTAATTTGTGTTACCTACAAAGCATTTTCAAATTTCTGATTCCGAGTTCTAGAAAAAACATATGTTTTGACAGACGAAAAATGGCGCCAAAAAATCTAGTCGCAATTTACCCTTAAGTCTATTTTCACGTCTTTCGTTTCTTTTTATCTTTGCTGCGTATTGGCAATAAGTATTATTTAAATGAGGTTTGTGATCGTAATTTATACTTTTTTCACCAAGGGTTATCGTTACATAATAATTTTGATGAAATAAATATTGTATCATATTTAAAATAGGTGATTATTGTCATTCAAATAAACACAATTTACTTAAGCTTGTTAACCAATCGAGATCATCTTAGCATAGAAAAAAATTGAGAAAATATAAGTTGTCTGTTTCTTCATGATGATAAATATTATCTCGTTATTTTAATGAAATTACACATTTAATGTTATAGTATCATCTTCTTGCCTTCAAACCATGAAAATATAATTTTATTAGGTATGGTAGAATATGAAATTGATTAAAAACTTAAAATATATCGACATTAAACTAAAACTTTATATCTAAATATTCAAGAAAAACCTTATATGCCACAAATATACTATATAATACAAAGAAAGTGATGATAAACCTATTCATAGAAAAATACAATAGAAAAAAATGGTTTTGTAAACTATTAAAATTGCTATTATGACCTGCAAAGGCCCTCATTACAAAATATTTGAATATTCATAAAATTTTCATCAAGAGAAATTGCATTCTCCCCGGTTTAAATAGTAGGCAATTTTTCTCAGTAATAGCTCTCGAAGAAAATACACTGGGGAGCATGGAAATGTATGCATTTTAATAAAGCGCCGTAAGTCGGCGTCTAAATATCATTTGTGACCTTAATTAAGACTAAATAAGGTTTTTATTCCGTTCATTCTTTTGTCATTTGGTGTAATTTGAATTTTAAATTGTTTGAAACGGTTGTATTTGATTTTTTTTTGTGTTATAAATTTTGTGAGGTATCTTAAATTATTTATTAAATTGACACACTGTAATTGAATGTAAGCCTTGAAACCAGTCGAGTTACTTCTCAAGTTAAACAGTTAAGCGAGAATGTACTTAATTTTCTTAGTTTTTAAATGGTGAAAATAGTACTTGAATTTGTGTATCTTTGTACTATAATCCGAAAAATATTATTTAAATTATACATAACAATTCTATAGAAGTGCTGTTTAGGTATATGCTGAAAAATTTTAGTCTTAATTCCAATAGTTTAGTTTGAAATTGGTATGGCTTTGATTTGTAAAACATATTTGAAATCTTAAATTACGCAACAATATTTATTGCAAACTGACTAAAAGTTGATCATGTGCAGAATAAATGCAAGACACGGAAAAACTAACACTTCATGTTTTGCGTCGTTGCATCATTTTATGTTTTGCGAAATATATAACAGTAATTATACACTTTTGTTAGTAATGAAACATCTGTTGTATTATTTATTATACAGCCGTTTAGTTCTATAAATCACGTTGCACCGACAAGGCAACAAAGCACAGATTTTTCATTAAAATACTACTGTTTGCAGTGCTGCATATTTAAACGCAATTTACACCCGGCCGCGCACAAAGTGCGATCCCGGAATACAAAGATTGAAATCACGGTTCCCAAAAAAAAAGTTACGAGAAAAAATACATTGATACATCTTGAAGCTAAATTCGAAAGATAAATATCGTTCCGAGGAAGATGAACGCGCATTATCACAACAGGGATTTAAGAAAAATCTTCGCGAGAATAACAGCCAAGCGAGCCAATCATCTCTTTTATAACGGTCCATAAGGCAACACCCCTTGAGATTATTTCGATTCCTTCAAAACAGCACTTGGATACAATATTGAGGAGATCGGAATTCATACACTTTATTTTATTGGGAGTTACATTTAAATTATATAAAGTAATGTATAAATATTGCCTAGAAGATTTTGTTTTGTGGTTTGTAATTTTTAAACGCATGAGTCTATGTCTTGAACCAGTTTTGTATTTCGAATTGAAGTTAGGTTAAAATAGGATTCAAAATTAAAAACCTGACTTAAGGTTATACTCAGACAAAGATAAATAAATCTTCCCTTATATAATAAGGGGATTTGGGGCTATTTTAGTTAAGTTTGTACACTTTGCAAAATGTCATGGTTATTTTTTTTTGTTTTTATGTCAATCATTTCGTTTCATTGGGCTGGAACGGCATGTAGTGGTTCCGATTAGCGCAAGAAACAAAATCTTTATGTGATCTGTACACTGTTATTTCAGGTCTAAGAGTGTTATATTGTGTTAATGCTCACACACGACACAGAAAAAAACCTACGATGGAATAAATGGACCTAATTCCAATAAACTTAGCATCACAACTTTTGACGTATAGTTATACCACATCGATTAAGACCATATAACAGTTGAAAACAACACTAATATTTCACACTAATGTCACTAAATATTGTGTTCCTACAAGTTCAAATCTAAAACCGTCGTAAAACTTTGGTATTCAAATCATAAGCGGTTTAAATCATTGCCAAAATGATAAGGGTGACGGGTTGATGTAAGCCCGTTAATTTATGCATGGTCTTGACTATCGTCCCGTGATCCCTCGATGCTCAGTCCTGAACCGTTTGACTTGGCTACATAATACTCATTAGCATATTCGAAATTTTCATCCCAAAGGATGGTATGATCCTCAGAATTTAATAATGTTCGTGTAATTTGTTTGGAAAGTTTTAAGCGTGGCAGAGCGTCAAAGTTGAGCACTTTTACGGGGCTTTTTGTTACTTATTCGTTCATGCTCATTTAAAAGGAATTTATGTGGCGATTCATTGTATCTTTTTTTATAAAGTGCATATATTGCTTACAAGTAAGATTGTTAATAAAATATTCGAACAACAAGGTATGCTCCTCTATCGAAGTATATTTCAGTTAGCATCGTGATTATTGATGATTTTCTTTTAATGATATATATTCAGACTACACCACGTACTTAACGCTTTTTTTACTGAAAATAAACTAGATACCAAAAATAAAAAATAAACAATTTTATGCCTACAACATTTTATATATTAAAAAAAGTTATGACAGCAAAATTCTAGCCAACACACCTGTAATAAATAATAATAAAACTCACGACGCCGTGACAAAGTCACAGCGTGCAGATTTATACTTTTTACTCTAGTTTATAGTCAGTTTCGAGAAGGCTCGTATCGCCTTCAAACAATTGTCGTTGAACATTTATAAAACTACAAATTAAACGGTATTATAAAAAAATGGCGTCAACATTTGGGTGCAGGAAGTGTTCTTGACACAAATTCTTACGTACCTATATATTATTTTACAACATAGGGAAGTCTGAAAGTAAGTTACACGTGGAAAGACAATTTTGTACTATCCGTAGTAACATATGAAAAAGTTTTTAATGTTTCATTCTAAGGTTACTTTAAACACTTGCGATGACAGTAAAACTAAGCGTGTTACGTATTTCAAAGGAAAATATTATTTTTCTAGCTCAAGTCTGTTTATGCAAGTCTGGATTTATTTGTTTTGAAATAGACAATGCAATTGTACCTGTTATATGTCATAATGTATTAAATGTTATATTTTTTGTGATACATATACTTATAAGTAAATTGAAATAACGAATTATATTTAGTATAAAGCAGAGTCGCTTTCTCTGTCCCTAGATCCCTATTTATGCTTAAATCTTTACAACGGATTTAAACTTCGCAACAGATATTGATACGGTTTTTTTTAATAAATAAAGTGATTGAAAAGGAAGGTTTATATGTACGAATAGTGGAGAAATTTGGTATCAGCATTGCACCAGTGCGAAGCTGGGGCGGGTCGCTTGTAGGAAATAGTGCGTCTAGATACTCTATGCCTAATCTCTTTAGCCAGACTCGGGAATAATGTTTGTGAGTTGCAAAAGTAATCAATTGGGTAGTTTCCTAGGTCATAAATAAATTATTTCGACGTTTCAATACAATAAAATATTGAAAAATATCTTTACTTTTATTCATCGATCGATCGATACACTAAATTTTAGATTTTGTTTACCTAATTATTCAGAATTATGTAAGCTATTTGACGCAAAAATATGATGACGTCATAACTTTTTCATACAAATTTCATAGAAAAGTATCGTTGTTGACATTTGGATAAAAGTATTGAATTTGACTAGTTGGAAACTACCATATTGACTAATATAACTAAGAAAATGAGTCTAAAAGCTTTAATCAGGAAACAAAGAGTTCTTTCCCTATTATATTAATTCCCCACTAAAGACTTCCCAACTATGAGACGTCCGGTTTTAAGGTCAACCCTAATGACGTTCATTTGTTTAAAATTCTTCACTGCTTTCAAACGAAGTAAGAATAATTTTTAATTGAACCTCTTTTAGTGCTAAAAGTTTTCATTTCCACGTATTCAAAAGAAAATTCATTGGATTTTTTTTAATTGAAAATTTTAAGATTTAGTTACATCTGCACTAATATATATCTGCACTATTATACACTACGTCTAGAAAACTGGTAATTCAGCATCTCGATAGTGTACCTTCTTGAAATATGGAGTAAATTGTGCTGATATTTAGGCCTCTAAGTTCAGTCACTTAAAAATACGGAGTGACTGTTGATTATGGGCCCATCATGGCTTGAAATCAGGCCCCAGAGTAACCTCTACAAATAGTTAAATGAGGCCAAATAACTTAATCCATTACGTTTTGTTATTTAAATTACCTAATAATGTTCTTTTTTAGTTATTTATAGGTACACATAAATATGTGTATCTATGAACACTAACTAAAAGATAAGAAACTTATTATATTAACGGAAGTGTAAGCGCTAAGAAATTCTAATACAAACTAAATACTGTTCAATGGAAATGTCGTTAGGCCTCAGTGTTGCCAGCTCGAAAACATACACTTGTCGGCCGCTTCCGGACAACTGTCACAGGAAGCTCATCCGTCACTCGTATGGCAACACTGAGTTGACAAGGGCTACACCGTGTCAACAGTATTTTGTTACTAGAACTCACTTTGTGCAAACATGTATTTTTGCTAAAATAATAAATTGTTTTTGGTAGTGTTAATTTCAAATATTATTTATTTATTTTCGTATTTTGTTTTTATTATTAATTCTGAACTATAAAAAAAAGAATGATAATTTTGACTTACTATGCTGTATGATCTAAATAATAGTATGTTAGTTTTTCATATTTCGAGAGCATTAGACTGAGCTGCTCTAGACTGAGGCCGCGAAACATTATTGCGTTTGACTCGTAATCCCGGATAGCCACAATATACCAGTGCCCATAGCCTTCCTCAAGAAGTAAAAACGTATACAACACATGAATAAGTTATTGTCCAATTCGAATAAGTCGTTGCTGAGATTACCGCGTGCAAACTCTTCGGTTTTAAATTGTGGTATATGTGATATTGTAGTATATGTATACATAACTGATTACAAATCCATGTGACGTCGATGATAAAGTATACACTAAAATCGTCATCATATATCATTATACTTCAAATTTGTCTGTGCTATGATGAAAGATGGACTACGTAAATAGGTAATTAGCATAAATATGCTGGTGCCAAACAATTTATGTACTTATTTACACATTCCGAAGTTCCAGTCTAGGTTAGGCGTCTTAATACTAGTCAAGGACACAGTAAATATGGGCGAAATGATGATAAGAGAGAACTGCAATCTAAAAGCGATCTTAAAAGCTCAATGATAAATAGTTTACAATTGATTGTCATTTATCTTCAAAGCAAGCTGCCTTCTGGTTAGTAGATATACTTCAAAGACGTTTTCAAATACTTACGTAAATAAGAAATAACTCGACAGTTGGAGGAATGCAAGCAATCATCTGCTGAGCCACTGGGGTCCAATTCTATTGTCTAATCGGTTTTAGTTATGGCTTTTTATCAATAGTAGGACTTATGCCCGGCCCGGGTCCTGGATTTAGTCATGGATTCAGACTACATTTAATCTTCCAAATATCTCCACTAGATTAAAACCTTTACATGTATCAATAAAGTTGAAAATCCAAAAAACAATTAGTATAAGGCAATGACGTATTATATATAGACACGTCATGAACCAACATCGCGGCGCTTAAAAACGGCGAAAATACTAGATAACTACTTCTACGAGTAAAGAAAGGGAAAGAAAATATGACATCGTATAGTGGAATGCCTTTGCTAGAGGGAGATAAATATACATCTTCAGTTATGCCGACGGCACGTGACTGTACCTTCATGCGCCGGCCGCCATAAGATGGCGGGCGCCGGCGTCGAAAAAAATAAAATAAAAATAGGTTGTTTGGTAAACTTACGCATGAAATGACACATTTTTGTCTTTAACTTTTGGAGTATAATTTGTACATCGTCTGAACACACACGACGACATGCTTTCTTTATGTTTCGCACAGGTTTACACACACGATATAAATTAAAAACAAACGTAGCGTCGCGCGGCAGGTTGGTGCGTAACTAAGCGCGATGTTGTCAATTGCCTTCATTTCATGTTGTCATTTTAGAGCGCGGACAACGTATCTATAGTTTTATACATCATTGGTATAAGGTCAGTCTTATCCACAAAAGACGTACATTTGTTTCTCCTGTATGAATTCACCATTCGTCTTTGGCGATAAGCGTTTTGCTATAAGGTTGGGAACTGTTTACTACCTCACGTTAAGAAAAGCTGTTCTTCATTGCATTTTCCATTTGTCTTCTTATTGAAGTCGTTATCTATATTGATCTGGAAAATAATATCTATAAGATAATACGTTGGTCCTAATGACGCTTGTATTCTTCTTTGCAGGCTCGGAACAAGCCAGCCGATGGTGGTGGTCATGTCAACCAGAAGAATGCAGCCGGTCAGAAGTCTACCACGCCTTGTCAGAAAGGTAAAAATAAAATTATCTATTTACATGTATAGGGTTAATGTCTGTTGATTCAGTTTTTTAATCTGAATTTGGACATACAAGCAACTTAAAATGTGTAACTAATGAATTTTTAAATCTGATGTTACTTTACTTTTGTTACTTCGTTTCTGATATAACCGCACAGAATCTACAGGGTTTCTTTCAGAATCATATCTAGAGATTCCAGATTCGAATACCGATTCCCAAAATAACGGCTTTAAAATTCATTCAGTAATATTTCCGTATCATCTCCAGGTGGCCCAAAAACCCCCGTGAAACCATCGGCGCAGAAAGGCGCAGCGAAAACCGCTCCTCCTAAGCAAGCGGCAGCAGCAGCGGCAGTGAAGACTCCTCAGGGCAAGAAGAAGAAAGGCCACAAGCACCAGCAGTACGAACTGATCGTCACCATAAATCTGGTAAGTGGGATAAATTACTTTTACAAGCAACTAATATTTTGAAGGTGCCTGATACAAAAATTCGACAAATACAATGGACGATGGATGGTTTATTGAGATGTAGGGCCAATGAGGTAGATATAATGGATCATACATCCTGAAAACCAAGGTAATTTGATAAAACAATCTGGTTAGATGACAACCCTAAGACAGATACCCACACAACAAAAAAAAATGTACATAGGTTATCTTTTTGACAATCAGTTTTTTTTTGGAGCAACACTTAATCTTACTCTGTTGAGACCTACAACGCAAAAACTAAAACATTCAATTCGCATATTATACGATTTATATATATCAATTTATCTTCATTAATTTCATAATATCACTGGTTCCATTTTTCCGCCATCATAAATACATATTTTGTATACAAAAAGCACAAAAGATAGTAGTCATTCGCCATAATAGTGTTCAGCTATTCACAATGAGTGCGCTATAATCGATTTCTCGTATTTTTCCGAACAAACCCAGCTTCCTGACAAAACAAAACGAGGTAAAGTATTATACTGCCTCATAAAATAAAAGTGAGTCTTATCACGGGAAACTTTTACATCTATCTCTCTCTAACTTTTAGACTTTCCAATAAGATGTCTCACTCTAACCGATGTTTTCGCGATCCGGCACGCGTAATCGTCTGTGATTGGATTATCGAAAGTTGTTCGTGAAAAACGTATTTTGTTTTGTTTTTGTTGTCCGCATTGTGTTCAGTGTTTTTCGAAACACTCTCAATATCACGGTTGAGTTCGTTGACTGTTAGTACAGAAAAAAAAAAACGGACTCTTAATTTGACATTTGACAAGTCCATTTGGGGAAATAGGAAAATATAAAATATTTTGTGTTTGTATTTTAGCTTTCATTGAGATGTTTTTAAACATTTAAATTCATGAAGTTTTTTCTGATTCACACGAAATACACTTTCAAAAATTAACTGTTTTATTTATGCTCATTTTCTACCATTTCCATTTCTATTCAAAAAATAATTTTGAATATAATTTTATACGAATTGTAACGAAAATATTCAAACATTTATCACAATAATCACTTATGCTTAGCTTTAGATTTTATCCATAGCAATACCTAACAGTGAAATGTTCCAATTAACCATTTGTTCTCTAAATTCTTTCTTTAGAATATCATCATGTTTTGTAAAAAAAATGTGTTTGCAAATGCACACACACATTTTTAAACACGGAACTACCCTTCTATTAAACAAATCAAAAATGAGTTTATAGTATAGTTTGCTATTCTCTAACTTTTAATTATCAAAGGTTGCAAATAAAAGAAAACTTCTTTAAATACAACTGAAGTGACAAAACTATTTAAATGTGTACGATGTTGTAGTGACGTCATTGATGACATTAAAAATGTATTTTATTGTTGCAATTTTTACATACATAATTCTACATAATAATATAAATTCACTGCTTTTTTATTGCTCTTTCACAGTCATCTGTTTTGTGACCATCGTAAATGTCAATTTCGTATAATATTAGAAATGTAACGGGAAGTGTACTTCGGATTTATTAATAACTTTAATATGTAGTTAAGCGGACATTTTGTATTTTTTATATAAAATTCATTTAAACAGATACATATTTTTAGGAAAATCTAGGTACTAGTATGTATACTACTTTCTAGTAATCTTTCTATTCATTAATGGATACAATTTCTTTTCAAACTTGTCTCTAGCCCTGTTTTTTTTTTAGTAGGCGGGAGCTGGTGTCAGACTCTTACTGACTAAAAACCCCCCTGTTTCTTCTCCTGCTCTGGGCTGAGATCGCGTTGCCTCAATGCGCTTACCCCGCAACCCCGGCTGAACATCAGCCCTCTAGGGCCCCGTCTGTGGTGGTCTATTGACTTTTTGAGGCGCGCGCGGAACGCTACGCTCGGGCCTGGTTCTGGTCGGGCGGCGAGCTGCCCTTACTCGCCAACCGCAGACCCGCGCTTACGGCGGGTCGTGAGGAGGAGGATTGCTACCTCACGTGGGCCGCCTCCCTCTTTGCGAGCATAACTGCTTCACAGAAGGAAGCGACGGCGTCCCAGTTCCTCTCACTCCGCACCATGGCCTCGATAGATATAGCGTGTTGTAAATTGCGTATACCAGAACAAAAAAAAAACTAATTTCACACAACACTAGTGTCTCTAGCTTCAGAAGTAGTAGCTAGCCCTCATTATCTGAAAATGGGTAAACTAAAAGCGGTCTAATTGAAATACGCCTTGCCTTTGACTTTGAACTATAATTCATCTATTTTAGAACTCACTTTAAAATGACAGAATTGTAGATTTATTTCTTACAATTTGGCACATTTTAGGTTCCTAGAAAATTTTTGCGATAGTCGAGGATGAAGATTTTAGACCCATATTCCGGGTCTACTAGCGACCAGCCTCGGCTTTTTTAATAAATGCAATTCTGATACTAAATTGCTTCACTATAACGGATTTTTTATACATATAATACTATAGGTAATCCATCTGTCGAGCTATCACATCAAAATATAAACATTCCTCTTTATTCCCTACAAAAAAAAACCGTATCAAATCATCATTTTAAAGATTTAAGCACACATAGCGTTAAAGGTACAAATAAAACTAATCCAATAATCATAAGCTCATTCAAAAAAAACAGACAACACACAAAATATCCCATTATTGACAAGATTCTTCCATTCAAAGTTTGAAATTTAAACAAAAAGGTTGCATAACATTTTGACAGCTCTTTCGGCTAAAATTATGAATGAACTACGTTTATTGAAACTGGACTCAAACTTCACCGCAAACGAAAAGCAAGACAAGTCTACCACACCTGCCCAATTGTTCCAACCAAACACACCAATATAATAAATTATATTAAGTATATGACGCATCCATTTTGGTCTTCCGCAATACATATCATTGGAAAAGCAATAAAATGACACCTTGGTTCATATTTATTTAAACAGTATTATTTTAGGGCGCTGAGATCTAACAAGGGCTGTGAACGCCTACACAAAAGCGTATCGTGGCTCTAGAATTGTTTTGCGTATACGTCATTATAGGTATAAATGATATGATGGTAAGAAATCGTAAAAAGTCGTGGTGGCCCGGAGGTTAAGCAGCCCGCATCTCATGCATGAGAGTTTGAAGCCTAGCAAGTACCAATGTGACTTTTTCCGAGTCATATGTACTTTCTATAATTATTTAGACAGCACTGACATACGTGAACGTAAACATCGTGAGGAAACCTGGACTTATTATTTCTAATTATAAGTTTGAAATCGCCAACTCGCATTGAGCAATTAATGAAAAAATTTCAATATAAGCTATGGCCTTAAGCTAGTTGGATTGTAGTGATCCTAGTATCACTCCCTCGCCCCTTACGCAAAAAACGCAGTTGTAACTCCTCTAGCATTTTGAGATGGTGGCGCTTATTTCTTACTATCATCATCATCAGCCTATAAGTGGCCACTGCTAAGCAAGGGCCTCTTCTCACACGGAGAAGGTTAGAGCCTTAATCACCACGCTTGCTCAATGCGGTTTGGCTATTTCAAACTTACAATTAGAAATTATAAGTCCAGGTTTCCTCACGATGTTTACCTTCACCGTATGTCAGTGGTGTCTAAATAATCATAGAAAGTACATATAAAAAAGTCCGGAAAAAGTCACATTGGTACTTGCCAGGTTGCGAACCCTCATGCATGAGAAGCGGGCTCCTTAACCTCCGGGTCACCACGACCTCAGTCAGACCAAGTTCAATCATAGTAACATATACATATTAATAATTTGATAGAAATAATTGTAATGAAAATTTATAGAAAACAATACTTAAGAATAAATGTTTCTTTGACTAATTTAAAAATTATTATGCACACGACTGTTTTCTGAGTGTTGTGGGTGGTTTTACCCTTGATAAAGTTAACTATAGCTCAATTTTATTGGCATACCGCGTCAAAAATGTATTAAAAAAAAACAATACGGAGACGCGACAATTCTTGAATTTAACGACGATATAAAAATTACGCTTTTCTTTTAAAGTCTAATTTATTGTCTACTAACTTCTGTTTGCGACGACGCTCGTGTGAAAACGTATATTCCACGGGAACCTTAAATTTTATTAAACAGGGCTTATTAATTTATTCATATCTACTAAGGATTTTGCAGCTAGGTAGACATTGGCAAAGTCTGGGGGAGCCAATGTGACAACATTGGCAGGGGGAGCCAATGGATGCAAGTGGCGATTTGTCGCTCGTCGTGGAGGGCTAAGGAGATCTAAGGCCTTTGTTGAGCAGGGGATATCTTCCAACTAACGATGACTAAGGATTTAATTCATTAACGTCAATCTGAAATCGTTCAATGTGAATACAGTTAGAGGTCTCGTAAACGGCGGTTTGATAGACGTCTTGGAGTTTGATAATAAGTTTTTTATTTCTAATGAGCTGTCTGACGATGATATTGTAAACAATTGACATGCCTGCCTATAGGCAATCTATGTATTATCTCTAGTCTTTCCAGTATATCCCCATAAGAAACAAAAATTTTGGAAACGAATTCACTTTCTTAGTGGTTCTAATGACATATTTGAATCCAGAGACCTCATAAATATTAAGGCAGCAACAGCCTCAATTGTAGAGGCTGCCCATCCCCCTTTGGTTGGACGCTTTTAGGACTGTGACATTTGGTTTTGCGGAGCGCTCGCAATATGTACCGTGGCTTCTCGCCTGCAAAATTAACAAAAAATTTGGTCTTTGTCTCAATTTACTATTCATAGCACATCTTTTCCAATTTGAGGTCCATGAGCGTTAGACCTACCTATTATCCAGATCTGTTTAGCCATTTCATAGGACAAACATACATACATCTAAACTAGTATTTTTATAAAATAAGTAGATAGAAAGTGTCTCTCATTCTGTGATCTTCTTTTATTGTGATAACGCGGCAATTGTACGAGTTTAATAATGCACTTAATATCGTATTAAAATTTAAAA